GGCACAGCCAACTATCGATCCTCTGCAGGTTATCTTTCGACTTCTGCGGGGAAAGTGCGCCAAATGAAGAAAGATCCACGAAGAGGCTGCTATGTCCTTGTTCCAGCCCCTCTTGTTTGGAAAGCCCCGGATCATGCACGAGAACGCCTGGCCGCGCTTCTCCTGAGCACCTTTGCGAAGACAAATGGGCTTCACATCCTTCTGGCACAAATAACCCTGGCAGTATCTAGAAGACGTCAGCCAGAGATCATGCACTGTGTTGTCGGTGGAGGGGCTGATGGCAAGAGTATGGTGCTAGTGGACTTGATGCAGGCTGTTTTTGGCACTGGCTTTGCAAACCCTGCGTGCTCTCTTTTGCAGGCATGGGCTCCTTTTTCTTGCAGCCTTGAGGGTTTTGAAGAGAACAGCAGACGCACTTGGGCTTTGTTTCCGCGCCCCCGATTTTTTGAATTTTACACAGTGTTCTTGTTTACAAAGACGACGAGCTTGCGCTGATATGACCTTAGAATACCTTAGACATGACAGTCTCTCCCAACCGCATGTTCAAGACAGAGCAAGAGATAGAATCAACCGTTGTTTTGATAATGACCATGCGTTCAATCCCAGGCCCTTTAAATCTGAATACGGCCAGGTGGAGAGAGAATTCCAGCAACAGGGTCGCGCTTTCTTCCATTGCATGATGCTGAGCTTTGACGAGGCTCGTAGGGGCGCTGGCCTGATAGAAGACGTGCTAAAGGTCTTCATTTCTGGTGGCCTGCTTCCCCTCAGAAGAAACCACGAGCAGGAAACACACTACATCAGTTTTGAGTACTGTGCGAAGAATTGGCTGCTCAACTCCGCTGATATACCGCTGCTGCCAGCGGCCATGGAAACATCTCACAGTAGAAGGTTTCTGTGCACCTACATGCGGAACGAGCTGACGCATGATCCACGAAAAGTCAACATCGAGCAATGCTGCTTCCTTGCAGACACTGAAGCAAAGAGTTTCTGTGCATCTTCAGCCGCGGTGTGGGCCTTTTATCACGACTGGGTCTTCCCCTTCATGCAGAACACCTCTCTGGATAAGTGCTATCGCATCCTTTCTCCTGACAACCCAGACTCCCAGACTGCCAAGGACAAGTGAGACCCATGCAGGTTGTTTTTGTGGCCCCTTGCGTGGCTTTTGAGAGTTTGTGTCTTGTCTCACTCAGTATCTTAGAACCCTCGAGTAACATCTCCTCAACAACACTGGCTTTATGGTTTTGGAGGACACGCAATGGTTCCTTCGACGAATGGCGCGTCTGACAGACGCAACAACGCCAGATGTGGACTCTGATCCATCGGGCCCTGCAGAAGACATAGCGGATACAGAGATTGTGCAAGCAGAGAAATTGGTGCGCGAAGTGCATGCAGCCATGACTGGTCCATTTTTCCCTCCCTACACAGTCAACCGCTTCGCAGCGGTCAGCAATCCTGGCGTTGGACAGAAAACCAAGGGCAGTACGAAGCGCCTGCGGTCCGAGTGCTTGCAAGATGCATCCCTGCGTTGGCCGCATTTGGTGCGCACTGTGCTGCAACCTGCGGGCAAGTCCTTGAAGTTTCAACGTCGCAGCGTGAATGTGGTTAAGATGGAGCGTACGCTCGGTAGCCTATGTGATGCGCCTTGTGAAGTCTTTGGAACCTGGGAGCAGTGGGCTTGGCCAGAGGACGTCACAGGTGAAGCTTCGTGGGATCCTTTCTGTTCAGGCGAGACGTGGACTTAATGCGATGCATTTTCCTGTATTCCTGTATCGCTGACTTCACATATTCCTTTTCCGACCTACATGACTTCTTCCTTTCCTTCCCGGTCCTCCTCTTCTCTTCTCTTGCTTTCTAAGTACACATCCTGCCGATAAGACTTTTCGCTTGGAATTCCTTGATATTCCGGACAGGCGAAGAACCTTCTGGCTTCGACGCCGGTCCTCCTTGGGAGGTCCAGTGCCTCTTGGATCTGGAGAAGCTCAAAGCCTACAGCGCCTGTGCGCAAGACATACGACAAGACCAGCTTCAAAGATTTTTACACCTGGCGCAAAGAGAGGGCGCTGTGCAAGAGAGTGGATACATCAGCCTCAAACAAGTTTCTCGGAGATGCCTCTTTTCACCTTCCTCGCAACATAGCGCGACAAATTCTTATAACCCGTCTAAGCACCAGATTTTTGTTCACTTTCTTTGTTCCAGAACTTAAACCTGCCAAGTATGTCATTGAACTGCCAAACGAAACAACTTCAGATCATTGGGCTGCAAATTCCTTGTTGACAAAACGAAGTACACACATGTTGGTTGACAGTTGCGTTTCCAAACTCAGGTGGCCCGGCAAAAGCTCATTGATGGAGTACCGATGGATCGGCACTTCTTCCCGCACGTGTCCTTCCCTGCCCTCACTCGCGCAGCGCGGCAGGCAATTTCCCCAGACGGCTCTGTGGAGTTCGACCAAGAAACTGCTGTGGTCAGCATTATGGTTCGAGAAGCCAAGAAGAGGAATATTGACACACCATGTTTGGCTTTGTACAGCCAGAATCGGGATTTGTGGCGGCGAGCCGTGGCTACATACTTGGATACATCCATCGAGAGCGCCAAAACGATCCTTATGAAGGCAACCTTTGGCTTTGCGTTGCCTTTCGAAGACAATGTCTCGGAAGGAGTGCTGCCAATGCTTCAAGGCCAGGGTTGTTTGCACATTACAGTGCAGATGTCATACCTAGAACTTCGTTACGGCAAGAATAATTGCCGTTTTCATGAAACGTCGCCTTTTTCCGTTCTGCGGCGTTCTTCCATATTGATCTCACGGGGACGGCGTTTCTTCATGAACTGTGGCAGTTTCGGTCAGTTGACGGCAATTTTGGTCCACACATCAAGGCGCCTCACAAGAGTCATTGCGTTTTGGTGCAGGCGAGTATGAAGACATTGTAGGGCTTTGCATGAAAGGCAACTGAACGCAAAAGGCGTCTATCAGCAAATTCGCATAGTCCTGTGAAGTGGAAAGGGCAGCTGATGGAAGTCTCACATTCTGGATTTTCGTTGGTTTTCGAGAGTACCTCGACCTTTTGCGCGGCATTGCAGAAGATTTAGCGTTTCAAGTTCCGGCGTTCTTACCCGAACTTGCGGCGTTTTTCCCCGTACTTGTGGCGCTTTTCCCCGTACTTGCGGCGTTTTTGCCCCTTCTGAGATCAGACACCCATATCCTGTCAGGAATGGCTGCTGAGTCTTACGCGCTGCGAGAATTCCTGGTCAAGGCACACCCAAACATTTTGGCAGCCATGGTCAGAGCCGGCAGGCCCAGGCCAGAGACATCGACGCTGGCCTTCTTTGTTTTCCACCAAGAGGATGCGGCTACCAGGCGCTTGATAGAGATTGTTGCCGAGTTTGGCTGGCATCTTGTGTGTCCAGTTTTTGACGCGGTGGTCGCCGCTCCCGGGCTGGAAAGTCTCCCAGGATCGGCGGCGGCTATACGAGACCAGTTTGAAGCAGACACTGGTCTCAGACTGCGATGCTGCGGAGCCTAAAACGCGCCATGTTTTTTCGACGTGCTCCATGGAGTGGTTGGGGCATGTAAGGACTAGGCCCCAACATTTCCCCTGTCAGCAACCCAGATGCAGTGGTCGCCTGCGACTGTGGGAAATATTGCGCTACTTGAGTGTGACGATGCGACACCGTGTTTTTTGCTTGGCTCAGAAATTTTCATCAAGCATAGCAGACATTTCCCTTCCATTGAATACTGAATGGATGACGCCGGCACAGACGATGATGCCGACGTGGAAGAGGATGTCCTGTTGCGGGTTCTTGCTTCCCTGAGGGAAGAAGTGCAAGGCTTCCTCAATGCAGGCCATCCTGAGAGGCAAGGACGTTGGATACTCTGTCCCTTCTGTCCATTTCGGGGGTTCCAGCGCGCCCAGCGCTTGCAGACCCACGTACGGAAGTACCACACGCAAGCTCGCTGCTTCACTGCTAATAGCCGCTCTCGCGCTCAATGGCATTTGGTTTTGGCCCTTTTT